AGCAGCTTCCTGTCAGCAAGGAGATTACAGATGCCTTGACTAAGTAGGGATAGAGGATCTTTTATTTATAAGGACTTGTAAAAAAAAAAGTCACCTTTTCAGAGTCAGGATACTGCATTTCTATAAATTTTGGTAACTGTTTCACAGTGTTGTGGGCACACACATTTTTTCCAGTTGGTTACTGGGGTGGGCGTGGTAAAATGTGGGGGGATTCTGTGGAAACTCCTTCTGTGATGAAGTCTATGTTCAATGTGCATGCTACGTGAATATAATAGAATACACATCATACAACGGATCATATGGAAGAGAATGTTCCCATGCGTCATTTGCCTAGGATATTTGAGACACGACCCAGGACTGGGTGCTAAAGAGAAAACAAAAGGTGCAACGCCCAAGAGAGGATGATGATATTGTAGGTGGGCTAGGGTACGAGATAACACACATTCAAAACTTAACTTGCAATAGGAATGAAAGCTTTCTACTTAAGCTTCAGAAAACGGACGGTTCCTCAGTAACTAGCCGAAACTTGACGTGTGTAGACCGACTTCTCTACTTGGCGGCCTGGACTGGCTGGAAGTTTCCCCTGGGTCCTGGGGTGACACTGACCCTTGCCTGGCAGACGTGTGAGGGTCTGCGTGCTCTCAGAGTGGTCGGAGAAGGGAAACGCTGGGAGTTTAGGCAAAGGCAGGGATGCTTCTTTGGATCTCAAACGTGTTCCTTGAAAAACATGGACATCTTTCACTTTGTCCCATCTTTTAAATTTAGAACGAGAGCAGCATCGAAACTGTTTTCTCCCTCTTTTTTGTTTTTGGGTTTTTTTTCTATTTTTATCTTTGCATAAATGTATCTAATGCTTCCATCAAAATACCCAGTGAAAAAAGAGAAAAAGGTGTAAGCAGTGCACTATCACAGTTTAAACTTAAGTGTTTAAAGAAATTGGCAAAATGTGTATCAGAATAAATACTTATGCAAAGGTAAAAATATGCCAGCCATGCACCACAGACAAGCTTGGAAAACCACCACTCATAGCATACTTGGTTAATTTACATTTAACAGTGATTTTAAGTCATATTAACACTGGCAATTGAAGGGATACTTGAAAGCGACTAAAAATACGTTTTTAAAGAACGAAACCCTGAATAAAACCCATGAAGTGTAGAAAGCAAACACATTTGAAATACATAAAGATAGAAGTGAGTTTCAAAATCTAAATCATGCATATGTACCTGAAAAACCCAACAAAATCACATCACAATCAGTGTCACAGTTCTTGGAAATTCTTGCTTAAAAAAAAAAAAAAATCTGAGTCTGAACAATTCATTGGTTACGGTGAGGAGGATAACTGAATAAAATGAAATAATGTATAGAAGTCTCATAAGGAGAGAATGATCTTAATTAATTCAACTTGATAAAATTAACTATGGATGTATCCCTTGAAATGCTTTTAAGTACAGTCAAGCAAGAAAGCAAAACAATGAATATATGAAAGAAGAAGTAAAATTGCAGTATTAAAAATAAAGGCACAGACCAAGGCATTGTGAATCATTTAGTCTTACTAAGACAACCCTTTCTTTGGATTAAAAGACCAGCAACATGATACTAGAAACTAAATCTATCAAATAATCCAAGAAGCTAAGGATTTATGCATCTACATGTATTTGTACAAGCATAAGCTAGTGTGCTTGAATATACCGAGAAAGCAAAATTCACTGAGGTTGATTCTATAAAATAAACATAATATCTGAAAAGCATGCTAAGTAGAGGAAACCTACAGTGAACAAACCCAGTTCTGAAGTAGCTCTGCTTTGGTCTCTGTGGTGACAAGTCAGCAGCTCTGGGGTCGTCTGTCCAGACGCTTTTCCACTGAGAGAAGAGTCGGGATGAAGGACAAGTGTGTGTGAATCATTCAAAACTTGGTCTCTCCTCCAAGGCTGGCATCTCACCTGCTTCTTGGAAAAAACTAAAGCTGGGAAATGGATCACACAATTCCTGCCCTAGTAAAAGGGCTGTATTTGAGGATTCCTTTCCACATTAATCGCATTTAAGACTCTCCATTTAATTAAATCACAGCCAACTACTAATTAACCAGATACTTGCATTTTTTATAATTTTATTCCACTGTCCAGGTTCAGTATTTCATGTCATCGTTAGCATGCATTTCCAAGAAAATTTCTAGGTAAAAAATATATTCACTATCTCTGGAAAGATGATGGAATAATTGCATTTGATAATAAAACTGTTCTCTATTATAAATGAAAACCAATTAAATTTTTGAAAATTAAATATTCAACATATACGCACAACTGGTTACCAAATTTATACTGAACAGAGAACTTTGGCCCAATATAAAATACCACCTTAATGAGAAACTCATCAAAACACTACACAATGACAACCATCTGTCCTTTAAAGAAAAGATCTAGGGAAAAGACAAGACAGAACTCAAAAGCGTGTCTGCTAAATAAATCTGCTGAAATACAAAATACTCCCAACTGTGTGTTTTCCACAACAGATTGTTAACTAAACATCCCTGTATCCGAGGCACCTTTCATCTTAGGTGAATCTGTGATTCCCAAGTCGATCTTACACTTGATGGAAGCAGTATTAACAGTTTACCTTAGAATACAGTCCTTTACCTAGAATACAAGTCCTTTGTTCAAACTTTGCTTCTATTATGATGATTCACAAGAAATTAACCAACCAATAAATCCACATACACTTCTTTGGGAAACTACTGTTCAAAGCACAGGTCACATCATGTAACACACTTGGCTATGTCGAAATAAGACACTTTTCTGTACTAATCGGGTCAGAACAGCAACCTTAAATGCAAAAATAGCCAGAGGCTTCCCTCCCCAGGACTGCTTTCTGTTTCCAGAAGCAGAATTCACGCATTCTTTTAAAATCTTTTTAATAACACAGCAGCCTTAAATAATATTTCCTTCCCCCTTTCAATGCAGACTACAGGTTCAGTCAGATGACCTAAGGCCCTCTCCTGATTAACATTAAGTCTTGTGGGTCCAGTTTCAAACATTTGGATGTAGAAAGTTTGGACGTATGCAACATTTTAGAATTCAATTCTATGAACACACTAACGTGAAAGCGGGCTTTTTCTAGTCAGCTTTATATTAAACAATATACATTTTTCCACATGAAAAAAATCACTGTTTTTGAAGAATGGGGCTGATTTTGACTTTTCAAAGATGTGTTTGCATCTCTCTCCCATGTGTATGTCTACATGCATGTACATGTGTGCAGAGCTGCACACGTCCGTGTGTGTGTGTGTGACACTAGCCACAGTGGCATTCTCTCCGTCATTTCATTTTATCTCATATTGTAAAATTATAATGGCAAATGCAGCTCCAAGTAAGGAAGATGGCCACTGTGAGAAGCCCGTAAGGAAACTGAACACAGTGTTAATTTTAAAATAAGAGTAATGTTTATGTATAGCTAACTCTGCTACAAACCAACCATATCTTAGAAACATCTGATTTAATAATTTTTGCAAAAACCAAGCTCATATGAACAACAATGTATACAGTATTGGATATGTGAAATAATCTTTTAAAAAATTTATTTCATGAAGAGTAATATATCAGTTTCCTGCTATGAGGATGGTGGATAAGCCACTTGTAGGGACAACTCAGTACTTCTGAGACTCTAATTCCTTCAGGTCAGGACCAGCAGCTTTGGAGGTGAAGCATTACTAGGCAGCAGAAGTGACTGCCTTCTCATCCCTGTAGGAAGAGGCTGACTATAAAGTCTGTAGACTTCTTTCAGAACATTTACACTGTAGAGCTTACCAAACTGATACAGAAGCAACTCTGCAGACACAGGCTTTTCTGTGGATGTCCAACCTTGAGCAGAGCAGAAAGGGCAGAGATGGGCCTGGATACAGCTGAGTCCTCTGGCCACCCTGCCGCAGGCAGAGAGCTTCTGAAAGACCATCGGGCGGACAAGGGCAGGACGTGGGAGAGGAACGCAGCATGCCGGAGTGAAGATTCCAGAAGGCTTAGATTTTATGGTTTAATTGATTTTAAGAGAAATGTATGGTCTCTTAATTAATCTGTAGAATAAATCTTTCATTTTTGAATGTGAGTTTAAGATTTTGCAATGACATCAAGTGAAAACATAAAAGCATCATAATTAAAAATTCACACTTTACATCCATGAGACTTGTCCGTGGAAAAACATTTGTATGCCTTGCTTTTATTTTGTTCTTTGTGTAAAGGGTTTAGGAAATTTGCCAAGACTACAATAAAGGAAAAAAAAATTCTCTTAACATCTTTAGAATTGATATTGGAGTTCTTAGATTTATTATGATGCATATCTGCATCTCTTCTCCAGAGGATAGAAAATCTACTTCCTTTAGTGTTAAATTTATGCATCTAAGCCCTTTATATAAATTTGAAGAGTACGCTTTAGTCCACCTAACTTTTTTTAATTCACGAGGCTCTGAACCCAAGTCTGACTATTTTCCATCAGTGATTGCAGAAAGACGCTTCTTGCTCTGTCAGCTTGATGCCACGGGCTGAGGCTGTCTGCCACAATCCACAATAACGACAACCAGGTCACACACGAACATCCACAAGCGCAATGTGTCAAAGCTCCTATTTATAGCCAACAACATGAAAGCAACACTGGTGTGGAAGCCAAAGTGCAGTCTCATCATAGTACCGTTTCAACCCTCACTAGAAAGATACAGTGGGAAAAGTACCCCCTTCTAAGCGTCCGTCTCCATTAGGGCCTCTGCCTAGCAGCCCATCAGAAAAGGCCAGGTCACAAGTCAACAGGCGTCTCTGGGGAGTGCATCTCCAGGCCTGGCTGATCACCGTCGAGGATGCGGCAGGGAGCCTTCTGCTGGACGTGTTCACTTGGTGGTCCTTCTTGAAGAGGTCTGCATCCCAGTTAACAGGTGTAGGTTCCCCCCGAAAATAAAAGGAAGAAAAGTCAAAGAAGCAGGATGAGCATCTCCAGGTGGGACGGCCCCTTGGAGACCATCAGTCATCGGTCTTCACGGGCAGCTTCTCCGAGGACTCCTGGGCCTCTGGCGTGTCCAGGATCCCCAGGGCGCTCTCCTCGCCCCGGATCACCTTCTCCCACTGGCTCAGGTTATTCCTGGAACGAGGAAGGCAGAGACAGGGGCCATTTCAGAAAGGACTTCTGGACTCTGTCCCCATACCACCCACAGCGTAACTAGGCATAACTCAGCCTGCTGGCTTTTGGGTGTCACCCTGATCATATATAATATTCATTTAAAACACTGTAATATATTTTAGACAGCATATTAAAAAGCAGACATTACTTTGCCAACAAACACCTGTCTAGTCAAGGCTATGGTTTTTCCAGTGGTCATGTATGGATGTGAGAGTTGAACTATAAAAAAAGCTGAGTGCTGAAGAATTGATGCTTTTGAAGTGTGGTGCTGGAGAAGACTCTTGAGAGTCCCTTGGACTGCAAGGAGATCCAACCAGTCCATCCTAAAGGAGATCAGTCCTGGTGTTCATTGGAAGGACTGATGCTGAAGCTGAAACTCCAATACTTTGGCCACCTGATGCAAAGAGCTGACTCATTGGAAAAGACCCTGATGCTGGGAAAGACTGAGGGCAGGAGGAAGAAGGGGACAACAGAGGATGAGATGGTTGCATGGCATCACTGACTCAATGGGCACGAGTTTGAGTGAACTCCAAGAGCTGGTGATGGACAGGGAGGCCTGGCGTGCTTCAGTCCATGGGGTCGCAAAGAGCAGGACAGGACTGAGCGACTGGACTGAATGACTGACTGCTCACGACTGTCCCCTTGACCGGGGTCCTCAGAGGAGCCTCGCCCGCTGCAGCTGGGGCCCCTGTCCCACCAGCTTCGGACTGCGGAGGCGAACAGGCAGCCCGCGCTCAGGATTCCTGACTTAGCCAGGATTCACTGGGAGAGGGGCCTGGGCCATCAGGTCACACTTGATGTGTGACCTCCGGGACTTCCTTGTTAGGTGGTTGATTTGTGCTCCCTTGGCCTCTGGTCTCAAACGCACCCTCGGCTCCCCTGTCCCCCAGTCTCTCTCAGGATCTGCAGCTCAAACGTGATGGCATCTTGGTCTCCTTCGACGGTGGAGCACTCCCGCTGCCTGACCACCCCTCGCCCGCCCCGTCCAACCCCGGCAGAGACTCCATCCACATCGCCGCCTTGACGGCAAGTCAAAATCAGAAGGGAACCTTACTGTCGGCAAGCACAGAATGCTAAGATACCTTTGTACAGAGAAACCCCTAAAACATAACCTGAAAAATGTAACGCTTTAGCTTCTGTACCATATCATCAGGTGTCATTTCCCCCAAACCTAAAGAGACTTCTTGATATATTGGAAAAAAGACACATGCTGACTTTGCTATGTTTCCTTGGCTCAACAAAACATGCTGGGATCTTCTGTTCATGGCCACAGGAGCAGAGAAGAAAGAGGATCACTTAAATAGGAGAAAGCAGTATCTTTTTTAAATCTTCTTGCATGTTAGTTTTGTTTTCCTTAAAAAAAAATCAGTTCATGAGTTTTAATAGCAGAGGACAGGACAGCCCTAAAGCCTCTGATTGTGTCTGCAACCTTCCAGCCACAGGCCTGTTTGCTCCTCAGTGGTGGACCCACTCCAGCCCCCAGTGCGGTTCTGGCCGAGCGGTTACAAACACAGTCCCCACACCCATTCTTCTGCAGAAAACCAACACACGGCTGTCTGCTCATTGCCTTTCACCCTCCCCACGGAGGATTTCCTTTCCAAGTAAAATGAAATCTTAGAAAATTTCCAACGTTCTGAGCTGAGTTTAGCCCTTAAAAAAGATAATGAGAGCACCCAGAGAAATCTGAACTAGAACAGGTCAGCTGGAGGCCTGCCTGTCTTTCGGGAAGAAAATGAAACTTAAAGAAGATCGCATTCAAGATTCCGTCTCTACCCTTCAGACAGTAAACTGTGTGATTTAAACCAAGTCCCTTTCCAAACCAGCAGCCTAGAAACGACATTGTTGTCTTTTTAAGAACAGCATCAGCCAGGGGTCTGTGAGTCATAAAGACAACACATCCTGCTCCTTTTTGGTGAATGAGCAACTTTGTGAATAAACACCCTTGACTTACACTTGTTACACAGGCAAACACACAGCCCCGTTGCTGTAAACTGCAATGAATACATCTATGCCTAGATGGAGCAAAAACTGCTGCACAGACTCTTATTTTTGAAGGAGACGCAGCGTGGTGAAGCACTGTACATACCTGCATGCCGTCAGGAGTGGTTCCGTGGCGGGGAAGATCTGGGTGAGGGTGGTGTAGCAGGGAATGGCCACGGCATTGTAGAACCCCAGCTGGCCCAGCACAGCAACGCAGACAAGAAACATGACCACACGTTAGCAACTCTAGTAGCACTGGGTTCATCAAGTCAGTTTTCTACTTCTCAAGCCTACCTGGACATCTAAGCACTCTGGTTTTGCTAAGCAACATCTGCCTCAGTGAACACTCCTGCAGATTACCGTTTAAAATTCATTAAAATACACTCACGATCTAAAACATAAAAAATTTAAATCATAAAAAGAAGTTACTCTAAAACCCAAGTACAGTATTCAGTGGGATTCTTATTATAGATCAGTTGTAGTTCATGACCCATTCTTAGGAGTCTTTTATTATATGGCAAAGCATAATTTCACAATAATCACAAATCAGAAGCAATATATTTGGTAAAATACTAGCTGATTGCAGAAACCACTTATTTAAAATTCACTAATACTATAAACAGATCTGGAATTTTGGCAAAAAAAAAAAACCATACTGCTCTTAATGGAATCGTGAGACAACAAAGTCCACTTTCTGATGGCATTTTCAGTTCTCTTATCAAGATTCCCATTGGGATCACTGCTCAACTGCCTATAAGGAAAAGCTAATACCGTCAGCTTCCTTAACTACATTACAAGATGAATTCCCAAAATTGAACACATCAAATATAAAATGATGAAATGAAAAAGAAGCTGAAGAAAATGTAGGTAAATATATTCTCTCAGCGTGGGACGGGACGCTTCCCATGTGACATGAAAAGTAAAACACTGTGATTACAAATATGGAAAGGATCCCCAAACAATGTCAAAACAGAACTAAACTGCAAAATACACAGGCAACATGCATGGTGCGCGTGTCAGGGCAAGTCAGACAGTGAGGGAAGTGAGCCTCCTACGGGGGAGCTGGCTGGGGAGCTGGCTGGGGAGCTGGCTGGGGAGCAGGCTGGGGAGCTGGCTGGGGAGCTGGCTGGGGAGCTGGCTGGGGAGCAGGCTGGGGAGCTGGCTGGGGAGCTGGCTGGGGAGCAGGCTGGGGAGCTGGCTGGGGAGCAGGCTGGGGAGCTGGCTGGGGAGCAGGCTGGGGAGCTGGCTGAGGAGCAGGCTGCGGGTTCGAGAAGACGGTCCCTTAGGGACAAGGGTGAGAAAATCGCACGGTCCCTGCTGGGCTGGTGCCCGCCAAGAGGCGGACTCAATCCTTATCGTGTGAGGAGACAGATGCTCTAAAAAGACCGCTATCAAAGGAATATACCACACCACACACGCATTCGTGCAAAACTGAGGAGGTACTAGAGCTCTCAAAGCATCAAAAATTAACGCAAAATATGCTGTAAGACCTGCAAAGAGAATAATGAGTGCCAGTTTACTGTAAGACAAAACTCAAAATGTAGTAAAACAGCATGCATTATTTGTTAGGAAATTTGTTAGGAAACGTGAACCTAACCAAAATCTATGTTATTCTCCAAAAAATATCTTTGTACATTCGATGACAAAATATTTTTTTGCTTGCTAAAAAATATTAACACTTCAACTTCATTCATACCCTCTATTTCAAGTAAGAAAAGAAAGCCTGTGATTCACTGCAATTTTATCTGTAGAAAGAGGCGATGACATGGCTAGTTATGAAGTCTTTAAGGCTGGCTAGGATTTCCCAATCAAGGGGCATCGAAACAGAGAAGACTTCAGCAGGTCCCAGCTCCCGTCAGATGGTCTGTGCTTCCTACTCCCAGCCGCTCTCACCGCCACCGTGAACGACCGCTTGGCCACACGGCCCATACCTGGCCTTGCGGGACCTCGTCCTTCTTGTCTCTGTCCATCATGGGAATGGGCTGTATCCCCAGCTTCTTCATTTCATCGCCCTGGGGGGAACGGAGGGGAAACCAGGCTCTCTCAGTTTCAGGCACCGCTGTAAAATGTCGGCATGAATGTGGTGTGCCCTTTATGCATTCATTTTCTTCAGAATGAATGATATTTCTGGCTAACGACCCACACAGATGTCAGAATAATAAAAATGTAATGTCCTGTTGTAGGTTTTTATCCTCATGTTCCTCTCCTGTCCTAAATTTCCAGAAACCTAGCCATCTGTTTCGTTTCATTTTGTAGAAGTTAGTGAAAGTTAAAATGGAAGGACACATGTGTGTGAGGAGGAACACAAGAACGAAAGTGAAATAAGCTCACGGCCTTTATCTCACTTTTTCAGATGATTTTTCACACACACCGAGACAGATTAAGCTAGAATTTAAAGAGGAATATTGACACATCAAGAATAAAGAGCAGTCTACTAAAACATGTCAGTCGAGACACAATATAACTGCTAGAGATCAGCATAAAGACTAAAATTATACATGTTTACCAAAGATGTATAATATCAGAGCCTCTGGGCCAGGCCACTGTAAATATTACGTCACTTACTCTTCATGAAATACTGTGAGTTAGATATTATTATCCCCATTTTACAGATTTAAAAATTATCTTACTCCTTTTACTTATTTTTCAAGGTTAAAGATGACTAATTCCTTCCCATTTCTTAATTATTATTATTTTTGATAATTTTATTATGCTTGTTTTCAGAAATCTGAAGCAGAAAGCATCCTGAATTTGCTAAGATAGGGTCACGGGACAAATGACTATAAGCCCTGTGAAGGATGTGTGAGCACCGGGCTAAAACACTGTCTTAGCTACATAAAGGCGCTGGAAGCAGCCTGCTCTGAAGTTACTGGTTTAAATGAAATGAACCGCGGTAGTTCTCACACTTTCTTCTTTTCTGCCCTAGGTGAATGAAGATACCAGGCCCCCTCAAGGATTTCACGAGCCCCAATACATACAAAGATTTTAAATAAGCAGTGATTCGAACAGGCACCTGGAGGCGAGCATTGATGCCGACAGGAGAACACCCGAGCGGCAGATGGCTCGTGTGTGCACGTGGTCTGGGGAGTCGGGGCTGCGGGCGGAGGGCTGCGAGGTGCAGGGTGGGGGGCTCCGGGCGGATGAAACTGCACAGCACAGTCAGGGACCCAGCGGCAGAGGGGCCGAGGGCCTGACGCGTCAAGCTCGCGGTTTCTGTCTTTACCACAGCGAGGAGAGACAGGCGGTTGGAGGGAAACAGAACTCAACTTGCCCCAGAGCAGCGAGTACAGCAGCTGAGGCTGAGACGGGTCGGAAAGCTGGCCCGAGGTGCGGTCTCGGTGCCAAGGTGGGATGTTCATCTCGGACAGCGTGATGCCAAAGGCCCCACAGCCTCAGCTCCTGTTACACTGACTCCAGAAGACGGGCAAGGAGTCCAACTACATGCTGCAGTGACCCAGGCAGGAGCCTGTGAGGGCCTGAAGGAGCGGAGAGGATGGGCTGGGGAGGGGGGCAGCGTGGACCTCATGAACATCTATGAAGCCGCGGCAAGACTTGGGGACCACAGCTCTGCTTCCTCTCTGGGGCGGTGAGGTGCTTGCAGATGGCATCTGTGAGCCCACTGGGAGCTCAGTCAATCTCTGTGGACCGTTAACCAACGCCGCACTTAACCACTGCACCGCCTAACCAACGAGGAACAGAAAGGGAAGAAATCTACACGTTTGCCCCCTTTTGCTTCATGTTTGAGACTACAAATACAGTTGTTAAGGTATGAAGTATATCACTGCTAAACAAATAAAAGTGTCTGCAAAACAGTAAGCAAGCTTACGTGGTATTTATAGCATTAACTATGTTACTAGTTTAGACATACATGCAAATTAAGCTGACTGTGATAGTAAAGTCAAATATTACAGCTCAGACATGTACATTTAAAAACAATCTTCTTGAGTCTGAGAGTAACTAGATTTTGACACACACACAATAAAATAAAGAAAAAAACAAAAAATGTTCAAGAGGATGCATATACAATGTGTACAACTGAGCTACACGTTGGAAGGGAATGGGGTATACCGGGGAAGCTTGTATAGAAATGATATCTTTAGTATAAGCGACCCAAGGCCTGTGGTCCTCACCCAATACAAACTTCTTTGGTGTTACTATTGAGACAAAACCAATACCATAGACCATTTCTATTAATCATTACTACCTGAACGGTTTACTGGTTTTTTTTTTTACTTTTTATATCCGTTCTTCTATTTGGCTGAGATTTAAGGTATGATATTTATGGTACTACCAAACCCTTTGTGCTCCAAATTTACTTTGACTTCTACCCAAATGAGGTGCACAAACATTTTAAAGTTTTTTTTTTTATAAACTTATTATTAATATGCAGGGATCTAAGTATCTGTGGATTCATTTGAACAAGAGAATTATATTCTACTTATTCATGATCAACTAAGAGACCAAATTGAGGAGCAAATGCACATTTCTGATAATTTAGATAATTCAGTCAAGAAAAGGTATTCATGAAAGCAATTTACATGGTTGTTTCATATGTCGGGAATTCATGAATTCATGAATCAATTCCTGTGGAGCTCGTAATTTGCAGCTTAACTGACTGTTTGGCATATTCACAATTTAATCTCAGGTTTCTATGGTACATCATTAGTCTCTCAAATTTTCAGCTGCAGGCAAATACAGCCTGTGATGTTGTGGGTCCCTCTTAATACTTTCTCTCGTGGCCATAAAAGGGACGACCATCGATATTTATTGAATGCATGACAAAAGATCGGCTATTAAATAAAGAAAATTGCTGCAAAGCTGTTCAGGGAATCGCTTCCTGAACTGTTTCAGTGGAGATCAGGGAATTTACACACATGTCCAAGTCGGACGCTCTGACTTGATACCTGTATGAATGCTAAACAATAGTGCTTTTTAAGGAACTACTAGCAACATGAGCAGCTAAGATACTGTTACTACATCATCCTTGTATTTAACATCCCCTCAATTTTTCCTCATTTCTTGCCATCGTCGGCGCTCATACGAAACCCCAGGACATACCTCCGCCCAGAATTCTGCATATATGTCGTTGGCCGTCAGTCTCGTCACTGGCCACAGCTTTGTCACAGAACAAAGATCACAGGCGGTCATCATCAAACCGATGACACGGTCTCTAGAACACAACGAGACAAGACTGGTCACCGTGGCGTTTGCACGGGCATGAGGACAGCTAGGAAGTTTCAGGGCCGAGCGCGGCTTCAGGCTGGCGCTGCTGCATGTAGCGGGGAGGAAAGATAGCATTTCAGAGCAGATGCAACTGAAAGGAGAGAAAGGACACAATTAAGGGGCGGTGTCGCTTTAACCGTGAGAACACCCGTCACTGCCCTCCTGGTTCCGCGAAGACTGCGCTCCCTGCTCCTGCTTCCTGCGGCTTCCTGCTGCAACACGGCGTCATGCCGGCCTGGCCCCGACACCTTCTAAACCCCTGCTGCCCCTGACTGCCACGAACCAGATTTTGAACTTCATGGAATTGTGAAACTTTAGAGTGGAAAGAAACCTTGGGCGGGGTGGGGGCGGGGGGAACTATCCAATCCTTTCACTTTATAGAAGGAGAATGTGAGATACAAATGAGTGAAATGAGTCTTCGAGGTGTGAATAGCCCAGGACCGGCCAGAGGACTCAGATTTCCAGACAGCTCTCTCACCGCCTCATCCGCATAGAAGGGCAGGGTTGCTGACCGCTGCACAAACTCTAACATCTCCACGGAAGCAGGATTTTTTTCTCAGTTGCTTTGCACTCACCACTATGTGTCCTAGGTCTTATTGTTTTTCCCCTAAATATGGTTTATTCAGTCTTTTCTTTAGAGGACAAGTAAAAATTGCCTATAAGTATTCAAACAGACACATCCCCTAGATAATTTTAATGGATTTGGTCTAATGACATGCTGCTGCTGCTAAGTCGCTTCAGTCGTGTCCGACTCTGTGTGACCCCATAGAAGGCAGCCCACCAGGCTCCTCCGTCCGTGGGATTCTCCAGGCAAGAGTACTCGACTGGGGTGCCGTTGCCTTCTCTGCTAATGACTTGCGTCACCCTAAATGAAGTCTACACTTAAGCGTGGCACTAAGCGCTAGCTATTGAGAGCTTTTAATATACTGAGTTAAACTTTTACAAAGCAAATTACATCATGATAGAAGGCAAATTATCGAGAAAGACAAAACTTCGTAACAAGCGAAAGATGCCGCCATTGTCCCTCCCTCCTAAACTCCAGAGTCTGAGGACTCCGCTGCTGCTCCAGGACGCCGAGCTTCCTGGAGGGGCGCAGATAGACCCCACCTGCGAGCACGGGCTGCCTGGGGCCTGAGCCTGTCCCCAGGGCTCGCAGCAGAGCAAGAGGCTTGGCTGCAGCTTCGGACGTAGCAGTGCTCTTTCAAGCAAAGATTCCTGGATGGCCGGAGACCCTGCTTTGTCTATTATCCGTGTCTTTGGTGCCGATCACTTCTGAGGTCTTGTGTTAATACTTCCCATCAGCCAATTTCTTTCAGCCCATTAGCCAGGTGGCTCAGTGGGAATGAATCCACCTGCGGGTGCAGGAGCCACAAGAGACCTGGGTTCGATCCTGGGTCGGGAAGGTCTCTGGGGAAGGAAACGGCAGCCCACTCCAGTGTTCTTGCCTGGGAATCCCACGGACAGCGGAGCCTATAAGGGCTACAGTCCAGAGGGTTGCAAACAGTCGGACACGACTGTGCGACTGCGCACAGCGTCAGTCATCTCTTCCTCAACCTGACGTTTCACAAGGACACGGGGGCATCGTATGTCTAACAGGCGGCCTAGATAACTCTAAAAACGCCCCTGAGACTTAAAACGTGTACCCACCTGTGACCCCAAAACAGATGCCATGTGAAGATATAAATCCCCTAAAATGATCGGAAAGCCCATGTTTTCTTGCTGAGGTAGTTTCCTAAGCACTTTGCGGTTTAAAGGAAGAATATTTATTTCTGGATTTGGGCTTCTAAAGCAACGGCTGTATTTTCTGTTTGCTTAACAGGCCGATTCATGTAAACAGGAAGAGAACATGAAAAGTACTATTATTTTGTTAACAAATAATTATTTCCTGAGACAAAAGTAATCCAGTCTCATTCAATCTACATTCCCACAAAAGAATCAGCATTTATTTCTTTTAGATAAATATTGCAATAAGCTTTATCTCAAGAAAGATTTCTTATCTCATAAATCTAAGGAAAATATGTTAACACAAATGGGCACTAGAAAGCGTGTGAACCAATCCTCTCCCTGGATATGACTCCATAGGCAGCATCCTTACTATTAGGGTTGAAAGGATAATAACCTACTTATCATTTAGATTTCACTGTCAAAATTACTTAGAAAAAAACAATTTATCAGTATTTTACTGTTAAGCAAACAAATAAAAATAAGTAAGATAAGATCTATATTAAATGCCTTTAAAAATTACTTTTTTAAAAACTGTTAGTGACAAATTAGTTGGATAGTCATGGTTTCCTGGAAATATGAACCTGAATTGGAATTGTGTCATCTCTTTCTATGAATGGAATATAGGCCTAACTTGTGACTCAGTCACTTCAGTCGCTCAGTCATGTCTGACTCTTTGTGACCCCATGGACTGCGGTATGGAGACCTAATTAGTACTGCATTCCGATAGCCAGCTCTGAAAGCGATGGAGTTTATGCCAACTGCTCTTGGCATGACCTTGCCTGTCCTCCTCACTGAGAACACTGCAGTGAGAGCCCGGTGCATGATGCCTGTACTGCTGATGGTCCTCAGGAGGGTAACTTTGGGTTGGGGGGCGGTTCACTACATTCATTTATTCCAAAAAGTTCTGAAGGCCTGTATGTGTCAGAGACGGTTCTAGAGATAAGTAAAATAAGCCCTGCTCAGAAGAACTGATGCTTTTTAACTGTGGTGTTGGAGAAGACTCTCGAGAGTCCCTTGGACTGCAAGGAGATCCAACCAGTCCATCCTAAAGGAGATCAGTCCTGGGTGTTCATTGGAAGGACTGATGCTGAAGCTGAAACTCCAATATTTTGGCCAATGCAAAGAGCTGACTCATTTGAAAAGACCTTGATGCTGGGAAAGACTGAGGGCAGGAGGAGAAAGGGACGACAGAGGATGAGATGGTTAGATAGCATCACTGAATAAATGGACATGGGTTTGTGTAAACTCTGGGAGTTGGTGACGGACAGGGAGGCCTGGTGTGCTGCGGTTCATGGGGTTGCAAAGAGTTGGACATGACTGAGCGACTGAACTGAACTGAACTGAACTTTTAGGAGTAATGTTCTAGCGGGGGAAAGTAGAAAGTAAGGAGAAAATTTTCATTCAATGAGTCTATAGAAAAATACTTTGAAGGAGGCACACATATGCAGATGAGTGAGACAGTCCAGTGGCGATGACAGTGAGCAAGTCCTAACTCGGGAATAAGTGCTGAGTGTTTGCGGAGCAGCAGGAAAGCCAGTCTGGCAGAAACGCAGCAGTGAGGTGGGGCGTGGGCAGCTTGTTGCTGAGTCTGGAGACAGACGGGAACAGTCTGATGGCAAGCAACTGGAAGCTGCGGGTACAAGAGCGACACGACACGCTTTTAAAGAGATCCCTCGGGTGTGCTCAGGGGAGGGTAGACTAAAGAACTGTTGGGGGAGGCAGGCTGCTGAGAAGTCCTGTGGGAAAACACTGGCCGTCTAGAGGTGCGAGCAGAGCAGTTTGAATTGAGGGGACAGCAGAGATCCAACCAGTCCATCCTAGAGGACATCAACCTGAATGTTCACTGGAAGGACGGATGCTGAAGCTGAAGCTCCAACACTTTGGCCACCTGACGGGAAGAGCCAACTTGGAAAAGACCCTGATGCTTGGAAGACTGAAGGTGGGAGGAGAAGGGGACGACAAAGGATGAGATGGTTGGATGGCATCACCGACTCATGAGTTTGAGCAAGCTCCAGGAGATGGTGAAGGACAGGGAAGCCTGGCGTGCTGCAGTCCATGGGGTTGGACACGACTTAGCGACTGAACTACAAGTGCAGACAAAGAAAGCAGGAGGAACATTCGAGGCAGTGCCTGAGGGTTCAGTCGTGTCCGACTGTCTGTGACCGCACGGGCTGCAGCCACCAGACGCCTCTGTTCAAGGAATCTTCCAGGCAAGAATACTGGAGTGGGTTGCCATTTCCTTCTCCAATTTTAAGGAAACTCTATACGGCTGTCTATCATGGTTGTAGTGATTTACATTTCCACCAACAGTACAGCAGAAGCTAACACATTTAAACCAACTACATGCCAATAATTTTTTTTAACTTTTTTTAAAAGCCAAGGAACTGAGAGTCTTAAAGGAAGAAGCGATTGAAAGTCTCAACTACTGCTGATGACAAGACACACTTCAAACACAAAGATGCAGACAGTGTGACAGTGAAGGGCTGGGAAAAAATATTACATGCCAATAAGTGACCACAATCACAGGAGACTAACCCCTCTGACCACATGGGCCACAGCCTTGTCTTACTCAATGAAGCCGTGAGCCATGCCATGTAGGGCCACCCGCAACGGACAGGTCACGGCAGAGAGTTCTGACCAAATGTGGTCCACTGGACAAGAGAATGGCAAACCACTTCAGTATTCCTGCCTTGAGAACCCCATGAAACCACAGGGTCGCACAGAGTCGGACACGACTGAGCGACTGAACTGAACTGAACTGAATTCACTATGAAGAGGATAAAGGGTCATCATGTGTGTAATTTATACGGAAGTGGCACAGTGAAAAATAGGCAAAAAATATTTTAAAATGTTAATAATTCTTGAATGTGGATATTAGTATATATTTCAGCATAATTTCTACCTTTCTTAAGTTTGGAGTTTTTCTTATAAAAATATAAAAATACATTTATTAAGTATTAAATTTCCATGAAATTTTTGGAAAGCAAATGAAAGATGAAAATTATCTTCCCAGGTATGTATGATATGATATGATAAACTTTAACATAGTTACAATAGTCAAAATAGTATGACCACAATTGAGAATTAGATAATTAACATTTAAATGGCTTAAGGAGTCAAAAGGAGTATTCTAGTCAATATGAAAACTTCAATTCAATGGAAAAAAACAGATTGTTAATTGAATGCTATTGACTCAGCCCATCAGGAAGAAATAAAGTTATGTTCATAAAAATGTAATTCCAGAAGCTGCTGCTGCTGCTAAGTCGCTTCAGTCGTGTCCAACTCTGCATGACCCCATAGACGGCAGCCCACCAGGCTCCGCCATCCCTGGGATTCTCCAGGCAAGAACACTGGAGTGGGTTGCCATTTCCTTCTCCAATGCATGAAAGTGAAGAGTGAAAGTGAAGTCGCTCAGTCGTGTCCAACTCAGCAATCCCATGGACTGCAGCATTAAGATCTAATTATAAAAATATGCAAAGAAAAATTTAAGTATAATTTATACTCCTTTGAGGAGAGAGGAGGCCTTCGTAAGCAAGACAGGAAACTAGATTTGATAAAAACAAATGACAGATTTGGACTCATGAAACTTGATTTCTTTGCAGTTAAAATATGAATAAAAATTTTGAAAGACAGTTAAAAGAAAATGTAACATATGACAGAGAAAATCTTAATATCCTTAACAAAAATTAGAATGTGAACTGATTTGTGAAAAAATGTAAAGAATCCAACAAAGAAAATACACAAACTGTGAACAAACAGAAGTAGGAACAACAGTCAACAAACACGAAAAGATCTTGAATGCAGGCATCTATCAGAGAATGGTGTATTTAAAGAGAGACGGTTTTTACCTTATGTTAGAAGTGTGAATTTCTACAGTTCTTTTAGAGAATTTAACATGTGTCTAATTTTCTAACACCATATGCGATATGATATATATTTTTAAAGGACAGTAGATAAGAGAATTGATTACAGAATTAATAATAGTGCAAAATGCTAGAAATATTTGATTAACAGGAGGAAGGTTTAATGAGCCAACCCCAGATACTGAGGAAGCTCTGTGATCATGTTTTTGTTTAAAAGTATAGGTTCATGCACAAACACACAGCTGTGAATAAACACAGGGGAATGCATGGGATGATACCACACCCAGCATGCTACTAGTCCTGGAGCACAGAACAGAAGCAGGGACCCTCAGGCTTCTCAGCCTTGCCGTGCAGACGGGGCAGTAACAGTATCAATTCCACGGGGCCATGCTACATGAGGGGCTGGAGCAGCAGTGTTCTGGTATCTGCAGGGGTCCGGGAACGAAGGCCTCCCCCACCGACATACTGACAGAAGACTCTATTATTGCTTTTCTAGTATATGGCTGCACTCTTTAAACTGTTAAAGCAAATATGCATTACCTTTAAAATTACTAATTGCCCCAAAATTATTCAATCATCATAACTACACAGTATACACCACTAACACGTATATATGCATCACGCACCAAGTATAATATCATTTGCAATGAGATTTTTAAAATTTTCTATTTTATAATAATGCTATTACTATCATAATCATTTTGCTAAAAACATATGCAAGAAACTTGATCCTACTTACACGGCTCTTCTTTGTAACCTGAAGACAAGGGAGACACAGAGTTTTCAGCAACCCGAAGGATGCCGTAATGTCTGGCGTATTTCTCCAATCTTATAATTGCCATAAGAAAGAGCACTGTGAACAAACACCTGTTCCTACAGGTCTTGGCACAAGAACTACACGTGAAATCTGCCAGACGCAGAGACACATGAAGACTACAAATCGCTCTGCAACCCTTGGGCTGCAGGCGGAGGAGCGGGAGTGTGCATGACAGGGATGCTCCCGCCATCCTGGGAGGCTCCCGGCATTGTGTCCAGATGACTCTGTGAAATTAAGATGCATTTCTTTTCCTCAAAGTTTCCTGTAAAACGTTTGATGATCATATTCTTGAGGAGATTAAGTTTATTATGCATGTGTCTGTAGTTATTTGTAAACATAAAGTTTTGTGTTTGGGACCCCTGAGCAAATTGCTTCTAAAAACTAAAAGTAGATTCCTGTGGAAAGAGACGTTAGGACCAGTATCTTAATGGATCACAGGGTAGGGCACATAAAGAGCCTGAATAAAGAGTGGATTCAAGTTCAGCAAGACTAGAATGAACCAATAAGCAAGTGTTCCCAGGTCTCAAGATGCATCACTTAAGATGGACCTGGTCAGATATGGACCCTGCAAGAGCAACGTCCTAGAAAGAGAAGCTGGTGGTAGCCACCCACACACTGGCTGGGGCAAGAGGCGTTTTAGCCAATGGGCTGAGATCTAACAGACAGATGGGTGGACAGGCTCACGAGGAAAACACCTGACGCATTCCTGAATCTAGCCGGCAAGTCACACCTTCTCAGAAAACAAGGAATCAAGCCACCTCAGCCTGATGCCACTGGAACATTTAAGGATCCTCATTGTCTCTGTTCTGACCCCATGTTCAAACAGACTGTGGATGGCCACTCAGCTTCCTAAGACCGTGACCACGCTGAGTGCCAATATTCTGATGTGTGCAGCTAGAATACACGTTTGTGCATTGATAACACGGCATGCAAGTCTTACGCATCAGTCACACTGGCTTGGAGAAGAAGACTCGGACTCCGATGAATCCGTTTCTATCTGCTTCTGAGTCTGAGAGGTCAATGGCCAAACGCTGGGCTGTGATAAATCCGAGGAGAGGCGCCTCGCGCAATGACCCCCTTGACAGTGCCCATTCCCATGCAACCAGTGTGAGTTCCAATTCGTATTTTAGTTATCTTCACAATACACTGTCAGCAATCTTGTCAAGTAACGAAATATCCAAAGTAAATACAAAGCGCACATAAAACAAACAAAAAAAACACACAAATTCTCTTTATATTTCTTTCTCCAAATATAAGTTTGAAATTGCGCTTTTGTTTTAAAATATACATTTATTCCAAACGCCACTGCCTGGGCTACTGAACGTTCAGAAACGCCTTTACCTATGTGACTGGTTATTAAGGTTCAGCGATCCGGTCTGGTACATCTCCTCCAGCTGCTTCCGGTTCCCGAAGTACAGAGCGAGGTCTGTGGCGATGATGGCTTTGCGGATGATCTCAAGTACCTGCTCGTATTCGCTGGAGCTCAGGGTGGAGAAGATGTTGTGCCCTTCCAACTGGAGAGACACAAACACACACCCATGAGCACAAACACACACCCGTGAGCCGACAGGAGGCACCACTCCCACTTTAAGACAAAGTTGGTGACGGGAAACAACAATCAGAACCTGCCTGCAATGCAGGAGACCCGGGTTTGATCCCCTGGAGAAGGAAATGGCAACTCACTCCAGTAAACTTCCCTGCGAGAATTCCACGGACAGAGGAGCCTGGTGGGCTACAGTCCATGGGGTCACAAAGAGTTGGAAACGACTGAGCGACTAAGGCTTTCAGGACACGTTTAGGGGGAACAAAAGGATAGTCTGAAATCACTAATGAAATCAGTGTTTTGGTTTCTCCTTATGATACAACAATGAAGCTACCACGTAAATGAACTATTTAAACCACATAACATTTCCCACCACAGAATCGCAGCAATTTAAACATATACCTAGTTTGGGGATATTTCCAGTAAGTAGTTAAAGAATTGGAATATGTAAAATATTTAAGTGAATTTTCCTTTTAAACTAGTTAAAAATTTTGGTAGTTTTAATATTATAGTAGAAATTAATGGGCTTAAAAATTATCTACACCCTTGTCTATTTCTGTGAACCTAGTGAATACTAACCTGATTATTCTATACCATAGAAGAAAATGTCCCACTACTGGAAAATTCATAGGCATATTAAAAACTCTCCCTACAGGCAAGAATACTTTTACATAAAACACACATCCCTGAGGTACAAAAACTGTAAGGCCATCTTCTTTTTTGTCCTCACAGTACCTGGACACAGCAGATCATCACCCTAAACAAGACCAAACACCTGTCATTTGGATTCTATTTTCTCAGAATTATTCTTCTGTGAATCTCTTAAATCTTTTTCCAATAATTTCCCTCAGAATTTTAAGTTTGGTTTGTAATTGAGACTAAAATGTGGCATTTCTGTTCAAACAAAAAAGGTTGAGATTCAACTTCTGGGTTCATCAATTTTTTTTTAATGATTTATTAGCCAACATAATTGTACTGAGCTAATACTGAGTTGGTAAAGAATCCACCTGCAATGTGGGAGACCTGGGTTTGATCTCTGGGTTGGGAAGATCCCCTGGAGAAGGGAACAGCTACCCCGTCCAGTATTCTAGCCTGGAAAATTCCATGGAGGGGGGTCAAAGAGTTGGACATGACTGAGCAATTACCACTTGCATAATTGTACTATAAATTGACTTTTGTTTCCAGTTGTCTTAAGCTATATTTACTGACTGATAAAATACATTGCAAACTTGAAATTATTAAAGTACATTTCTTTATAAAATCAGATACTCAGTAAGACATCATCTGCTTCCTATTATGCTGAAATAAGGCTATGTGTTCTCCATTTATTTTCAATTATCAGAATCTTTCTGAATTATTTACTGTTAAGGTATTATATTTATATTTAAATTATCCTATGATAAACGCAATAATGGAGTTACTTATAATTGGTTCTTGTTCTGACAATGATATCTGTAGAATGGTCTAAGATTATAAATCCCTTTCAAACTCATGATTTAACTTTAAAACAATAAAATTTAAATAAATCTTTGATACGTGGCTAAAATGAAGTGTTTGCTGAAACATTAATGACATTTTTATTTGACTAAAGAAAACCAGTCCATGCCTCACTCCCCAGCAGTCCTGCCCTTCCCCCAACCCCCATTATGAATCACTATCGTGGGAGCAACAGGCAGAGGCTGACGCATTCTGGGGCTTTGGAAGGAAAAAAGCCAATGATGCAACTAATTGCATCAAGCATTCAAAACAATGATGTCTTGAAAAATATACAATATTTATTTTGATGTTTAATTGCCAACTGCATCAAACCATATACTAGGAAACATGAGAGCACTATAATTAAGAACACAGATTTTGGAGTCAAACAACTCTGGTTTTTAATATCCGTCTGCCCCTCACAAGCTGTGTGACAATGAACAAGTAACTTAACCTCTTTGATGTACATTACTTTTGTTTGTAAAATGGACATGAATGATAATACCTGTCTCCGGATTCCACAAAAATCAAATGTATTGATAAGTGCAAAATTCTAGTTTATTGGAAGTACCTAAAAATGATGAGGGCTTCCCTGGTGGCTCAGATGGTAGAGAATCTGCCTGCAGTGTGGGACAGACCTGGGTTTGACTCCTGGGTTGGAAAGATCTCCTGGAGGAGGGCATGGCAACCCACTCCAGTCTTCTTGCCTGGAGAATCCCGTGGACAGAGGAGCCTGGTGGGCTACAATCCAGGGAGTCACAAAGAATTGGACACGACTGAGCGACTGGGCACAGCACAAGAATGATGAAACAGTGACTATGACGACGGTGATGACGACAAAATCTGGCAGTGTAACTTCTGCAGGCGGACTTCAGGGACAGAGAGAAGGCGAAACAAGCAAACAAACCTATACGTCCAGAAGCAGACGGGATGGCCAGACACCCTTCCTATCTATTTAGGACACATCTGTAGAAAAGGATGGATTTCAGCTAACCTCTGTAACATGCTAACACATTTTAGCTTGTAAGCAGGGACAGTGTTGAGTGTAAGTACAATTTTGCTACAGTTGCAACTGACAACAGTAAATTCTACCTACTGCAGATGGACTGTGTCACAGAAATGCTACTGCTAGAAAAACTCATGAAAACATCACAGGATCTCAAAATGTTGGGATAAAGATGATGTTTTAAAAGCCTAAACATGTTTAAAAAGCACTAGGCAATTTAAGATTAATGGAATAGTGAGACAGTTTTCTTCGTAACGAGAATAATTATTCCTAATTGGTCTGGTTTCTAAAATGTCAGCTCTTGGGTACCTACCATGAGGTATTCACAGAAGGCAAAAGACAGAAAAAGGGCAGCTTCAGTACTCGAGAAAATCATTAACATCTTCTTATGAAATACATTTTTAATATTAAAATGAACATTATTATGGATATTAAATAAAGGAATATTAAATGAATATTAAAATGGATTTAGTATTCTAACACTAAAATACACGGGTACGTTTTAGATAAGGGAACAGAGCTTATTCAGTCACTGCCCACACAGACTAGTCTCCATACCTGAAGTCATTCCACTTGACTCCACGACTGAGCCACCTACACGCTCTGTCCTGAGGACACATGTCTACTCGCTTCACCTTAAATGAAAGTTGGCAGTTTCCAGTCTCCAAACTGTGCCCACACTGCTCTGTCCTCTCTGACTCCGAGTCCACAGTCTCCACGTTTTCCACACCGCCCGTGTCAGCGGACGCGGCAGACGCCTCCAGCGGCAGAGATGAACAGGGCTTCCCATTCAGAGAGGGGCGCTAAGAGAAGCTTCTCACACGGGAGCGTGTGAGAAGCCTGTGGGCGTCTGGGGGGCTCAGGGCCGAGTGAAGGGGCACGCACCCGCGTCCCAGTTGTGTGGAGACATCGCACAATGATTTTGCGGGAGGAGAAGATGCCTGAGCTGAGCTTTGAAGACAAGGAGCCGCTGCCACAGAAAGAAAGGGGACTGGACAGGGCAGAGAGCCAGGAAGAGCCTGGGGCCACAGAAGCATCCTGGACACAGGCAGGGGCCCTTCATCGAGGACTGAGAATCAGTTAAGAGAGGAACTTTACTCCTGACGCCGTGGCACCCACTGGTCACTTTTGAAACAGGAGAATAACACGTCCAGACATAAACGTGGAAGGCAGACCTGAGACCCACAAGCCTGGGGAAACGGTGGTCACCAGGGGAAAAAGGCAGTCAGACCGACAGCCTCTAATGAAGGCAGACTCTGGGACATCCCTGGGGAAGGTCCCTGCCGGACACGCAGGAGGCTGCAGTGCCCAGAGGGGCCTGTGTGGCGTCCACCGCGGACGCCAGCGGGCGCTTCTGTCCAGCCGGCGACGGCCTGCACACGGCCCCGGCTCCCATCACAGGAGGGCAGCCCGGGGTGGCTGAGACAGCGCGGCTCAGCCCTGCTGAGATCCCGAGCCTGTCTTCTCTCCTGATGCACTGAGACTTCCTCCTTCATTCCTGACGTGTTCTCCTCCTGTTGCCCAGCGGGGAGGGAACTTCCCTGCATCCCCATCACTGGAGGAACGTGCGGACCAGGGTGACGGGACACATACCCGCCGGCCCCCTGTACTGTGAGCAGATACCCGCCCAGCCCCCATATCACGACAGACACCCACCCGGCCCCGCACCGTGACAGACACCCGCATGCGAATAGCGCTGTGTGTGTGTTGGATGGAGGTCAGCTGTCAAGGCCACGGGCTCAGTCTCTGTGCATCCGTGCTGCTGTGGTCACATGGGGGGTCCTCTTCCCCGTGCCCCCCCACGTTGTCCAGATTGTCCGCTAAGGAAGTGCGGCAACCCACTAAAAGTCAGCCTTGGGGTGAACAAGACTGATACACAGACACATGTGCACACACGCACACATGTGGCTTGGAGAAGGCCTGTGGGCAGCTCCCCCTATCCATCAGCGTGAACGCTTTCTCTCCGACCACGTGGCCGCAGGCCGTGCTGTCCCAGGACCGCAGCGGTCTGCGCGGTGATGGGAAGAAGCGTGCGCAGCGCTAGGGCAGCCGCGGGAGAGCCCCTCCTTACAGGGGTCGCTGGCGGACAGCGCTCCCAGCGCGGTCCGTGTCACGTAGCGAAGCACCGTCTGATGGTTCAGTGAGCGGATGGCGGCATTTTCACCATTACCCAAGGATGTCACCTGAACTGTTTGGCCTGAAAAGCGTCCTGACCACACTCACACTCGGGGGGATGTGGTGGCTGGAGGCGGGGAATGGGGGGCTACCCTGGCAGGGTCACTGAGCCGCGATGGGTGAGCAGGGCGCCACCTTGGGAGCTGCAGAACAAGCCGCGCCGGGCCGGCCTCTGCGGGCAGATCCTTGGCGCGTCCCGGGCGGACATGCGGAGGCAAGAGCCACAGCCTGGGAGGGCGGCCGAGTGGGCAGAGGGCGGGGGACCTGCCTCCCTCGCGGGCTGCTGGGCCAGGGCTGGTGCCTTCTCACGGTACCCCGGGCCTAAATCCTGTGCCAGGCAGGAGGCACATCTGTTCTTGGCAGGAATTCTCAGAGGCAGTTGGATGGATCTGAGAAGGAAAACTCAGGAGCATGCAAAGTCAGCAGGGTAGACATCTCCAGAACATGAAGGAAAACCTTCCGAAATACTCCTGCCCGTGGGGGTGGGGCCATGAGTCTATTCCCCGCTCGGTTTCCCCGTCACAGCTGCGCGGGAGGCGCTGGTCAGTCCAGGATACGCTGAGCCTGTGGCCACGCCTGGTTCCTCTAGCCAGCGATGCCAGTCCTCTACCAAGGACCGCACCGTCTCTAAAGACACAGAGCAAATGTACAAACGTGCTTCACCAGTGACCGAACCCCTCCTCTAACACTTGGAATCTAAGGGCCCCCCAACAATTCTGTGGATGTCAACAGCTTGACTGAACTTTGCCTTGAGTTTCAGTGACCGTGTTCTGACCATTCTGGGAACACCGCATTATGTAATATGCAGTTTCCACATCGCTGAGGATTTGCTGAAAATGAGAAACCGTTTATACCGCCTTAACCGTCAGCGGCAAAAAACAGAGGAAGTCTTCCTTGCCTGGGTCAGACCCTTCCCACCCAGCCGGCTCCTGTCACTGCTGTTATTGCCCAGCTCAGGTTTCAGTCCGTCCGGCAGCAACGGGCTTGGCCAGCCTGGCCTTTTAAAAGCTAATTCTATTATGTTTAGAAAAGGCTTTCCGAAGAACCTTTATGAAGGCTATCAAAATTCACTGGCAGATTAAATAGCGGAGATGTCATCACAGCCGAATGCATGCATTCACTTAGGATACAGGAAGCACACGGGGTTGAGGGAGGCCTAAATATCTCTAAGCGAAGGCATGCTGATGTCACATCTGGCATTTGCCTTTCTTCCTGCAGAGGTAAACGGTCTCACAGGATGAGTAAGGGCAAAGTAGGTATAAACTGTCATAAAGTTTCATAATGTCTGTTTACAGAAAGCTCGTTTTAGTATGTGTGTGTTTTAATATATATATGTGTGTATGTATAACACACATTTATTATACACACACATATAGGTACACACATATCTATATTATATGCACATATGCAAACACATACACAACCACACATATCCACACATCTTTCAGCTTGCTTAAATTTCCAGGTATATATGGATCTATGTACCTATCCATCCAAACCATCCATCCCTCCATCCATCCATACATCACTTAACAAAAGGAAGGACAGGGACCATCAGGATTGGTAATTTCCTATTGCTTTCAGGTAGAGAACTGGCCTGAGGACGGGGGGACGTTCGGCCTCCTGCAGGACGCGGCTCCGGCTCGGGCAGACCTCTCCCCCTCCCCGGCAGGTAGTCAGAACAGCACCTGCACCCCAGCAAGCTCACGTTCACCTTCGCAGCCCCGAGGAGAAGGGGCGTGGACAGGTTCAGCCTGCTGCTCGGGAAGATCCCGTGTGCGGTACCGCCAGGCACGGGGCCAGCGTGGACAGTGAGGAGCCTCCTGGAGGAGCTGCAGGGAGGCCACCAGCCCCGGGCGGGCGAGGGCTGGGCCGCCCCGGGGAGGAAGGCCGCCCCGGGGAGGAAGGCCGCCCGAGCCACAAACAGCCTCTGCTTCGCAGGTGGCCACAGCGGTCGCTGCTGAGGTCCTGCTGGGGGTTGCCTCACATTCTTGCAAATTCAGAATCCTCCCAGTAATCAGACCCGTAATCAGGGGACCTAATGAGATGTCTCTTCCTCCTTCGAGGTGCTAACACTGAGAGGAAGAAATGGGGTCTGCTATTCTGAAGCCAAACACAGAGCATATTTTAAAAATTGTGATGGAAAGCAAACTACTACAAGGTAATAGCTACTTATTTAAGATGAGTTTGAGGACAACCTTTAAGTGAAGAAGCAAATGCATCTCACTGTGATGTGAGAACTGTCAGCGTCCAAAGCAGTCACTAGCAACATCTTAAGAGCAACAGAATTAAAAACACACAAAAGGTAAAAAAAGAACTTCAATGCACTTAAAATCTTATTTGCCTAACTTTTGAGATTCATTGGTCAACAGGTTCTGGTTCTAGAATACGACAATCCACATAGATTAAATGAACTATGTGAAATAGTTCATTTGCCTCAGGGTATAAGATACTTAAAAATCGAATGTGGTTAAAAATATATATATATATATAAATCTTCAAACAAAAGCCTTTCTTAAAAATAAAAACAAAAGACAGAATTATCCTGAGCATGACTCTAAGGAATGGTTCTACAGTAAAATGCGGCTGCTGTTTTTAAAGAAGGCCACCACCACCTGAGCCAGAAGTCTCTCTCAGAAGACGGCGGGGCCCCGGCGGCTCACCTGCAGGATGGACACGGTCTGGGAGAAGTGGTGTTGCTCCATGGTGGACGTGGAGTAGAGTGCGGCCAGCGGGTGGTCGAACTTCTGCAGGTAGCTGTTGCTGAAGCCGCGGTGGTCCAGGTCGTGGCACAGACACGCGATGAGCAGGCCTTTGCGCTTAAGAAACAACGCAGCACACAGACGCTCAAAACAAAGCAACGGGACTCTCACGCTGACCTCTGTCACTGACGCAGCCCACATCCTCACCAACATCGGAAATGCCAGGTAGTCTAGCCTCCTTTTTAACCACTTTGTTTTCTGCGGCTGACTCTGACAGCCAAATCACTATTGAGGTTTCCTGCTGAGCTCTGAGACAAAGTGTTTGAGTGGGGGCAAATGAAAGCAAGGGTTCCAAAGGACAGATAAAGCAAATTTGCAAAAGGAGAGGGCAGTTTCCATTCTTCATTCAAAAATCTATTCGACACTAAATTCTAGCGATGGTATGGTTATCGTGAATGAGGACTGTAACAAGGAAATAAAGCATGGGACAAGCAGCTCCCTTTCTCTGCAGGGTCACGTGTCCTGGAGCAGGAGGAGAGAAGGGGGTTGAGTTGGAGCTTTCACAGCAGCTGCTGGGGCCCATGGAGAGAGGACAGCGTGGCCACCGGGAAGGTCTGCCTGGGAGCAGAACGGCTGGGAACTCCGGTCCCCGAGCTCGGGGCTGGGTGGCCAAGGAAGGGCTGGACAGCAGGGCATGAATGGAAACGGGTCCCCGCGTCCTCTCTGCGTGTGTCACCAGCTCCAAGTCTGTAGAGGCTGCAAATAAGTGGAACTTCACAATGTCCCTGTCCTCTTGTGCGGGGGAAGGTCGGATGAGTGTTTATGTTTTAACTGCATTTAATGTTCTGGGCTCTTAGGGGGGATAGGATAAGTCTCCATTATCTAGGGCATGAGAGCAAGGAGAACAATTCGCCTTATCTACATCCTTTCAGAGGAGCAGGAAATGGCAACCCACTCCAGTATTCTTGCCTGGGAAAATCCCATGGACAGAGGAGCCTGGTGGGCTACAGTCCGTGGGGTCACAAAGAGCCGGACATGACTGAGCGACTAAGCACACATCCTTTCAGAAGAGTCGGCTTTACTAGGGAAGAGAGACCACAAAAACCAGTGCTTCGTTGAGGGACATTTTGGCGACACTGGAATTTCCGTTTCTATATTTCTTATGCAAAACGATAGGAAAAAATGCTTGGATGTTGTGATTTACAACTGTGCTTCTCATGAATTTACGGAACCAAAGCTTGTCCTGGAATAACATGGCACCTAATTATATCACGAATGGGCAGCAGACACAGAGGGCTGAAATCCACCCTGGCTATCTGAAGATGGGGCAAAGGGAGGGTGCACACACGTACCTCGAGGTCAGTAAAGAGCCCGTGGTTGTTCTGCAGGATGGCGTACATGCAGTGCGCCACTGTCACCGCGTGCTTCCAGTTATGGTAAGGAACCCGGCGGTAGTTCTTCTTCACGGACATGATGAAACGACACAGCTTCTCCAGCTCGAAGCTGTGTGGAAGAGACATTGTCAGGACAGAAACTGGTAAAGAAGCAACGCGTTCCCGGAGACAGCGCTGGTCTAGACACACAGGTCTGTGCCGGAGCACACCTGGCCGGGGAGATGTCCGAGGTGCTGAGAGAGCCTCGTTCACCAGCTCCCTGATAGTCCTCCAGCCGGTGAGGAAGGAGGACTCCTTACCGGCTTCCTCTCGGACACTGTAACGGGCCCACCAGCGAGTAGACCCCAGGACCTGCTTGCCTTCCCTACCATCAGCTCCCATCACCGCTTCCTGAACAGTCAAGCATCTCCTGCATCCCACAGGGTCAACAGACAGCAACATACCGTCACCCTGCTCAAGGCTGTTTTGAGATAGTTTTTTTTCCAAAAAAGCATATTCATATTCACAAACTGCAAACATGAACACCATAAGAATTTTCTAGATGAGTGGCTATCCTTTGAAAAGGAATCCAAATTACCATGGTACACTCAAATTATTAACTGGCAGTGGCAAATGATCACATTCAAATACTTAACAGTACATGAAAGACTATGACGCATGCTCTTATTCTACAGTGTGGTAATAGATTTTGTATTTTTTTTTAATGTACTTAGACCTCTTTAGAGCCCCATCAACTCTCTCAATGGATATGAGGCAGCTTAAGACAAAAGCGTATCAATATGAAACAGGGCTCCAGAAATACCAGAGATGAGAGTTCAGAAAACCTCTAAATATTAATACACATAACCTTTATGTTTCTCTACTGAAAATTTCCAGATAGTCCCTGAAGTATAAGGTATATAATTATGAGAGTTTCAACTGGTCAAACTCTCAACTGCTACCTAAGAAATAAATTAGGTATCTTGTGTTCATTCTTTTGAAACAATAATTTATAAAAGTTGCTGATGGAAATAAGAGAAAACAGAATTCAATGGGAAAGGGGAGACAATTTTGCTCTAGAGAAGCTAAGAGCCTCTATAAGCCACTCAATGACTAGTGAAAAAAAGAAAAAGAAAATTATTTCTTGCATTTTAACTATATGTTTAAGCTATATTAAAAGAAACAAACAGACAAATATAAGGTCATGCAGTTCCTCTAGGACAGGGCTCAAAAGAAGGGAGATGGAGAAGGAAAGGGCAATGTAACTTCACTCCAAACAAAGGACACCACTCTGAATTAGGAGCCCTGGTTCCTTCACTCTTGCTTTAACTGGCATATTAAAGTTAAAGGTGAAAGGCGATGCTCAATGTATGTGTTTGTTCCAAGACACCCACAGAATCAATATGCGATTACTTATCTCAGCTACACCTCCATTCTCATCATCACCTGGTCAGAACTGGTCATGAACCAAGCGGATCTAAGAAGGCTGCAGGCTCTCTAATGATCTTAGCCTTTTTAAAAAATTCAAGTGTTTAGAGAAAACAATTTGTGGCATGTTTTAATTATCAACCAAGAACGCGGTGAGGCATCGAGGCTGTCTCACGTACCAGGCTGTCCCACAGGATCGGTGGATCATGTACACGAAAATTCCAGGCCACATGTTTTCAAAGGGGCCGACGTCAAAGTGGAACCTGGAATAAACAGAAAGCACGGGGTGGTGGGGGGGGCTCATGAGGAAATGCAGCGAACTAGGACAAAGATACAAATAAAGCAAGCAACTTTAACGTCTATGAAGAAACTAAAAAGTAATACTGGGAGTTTGGCCCCCTGCCTTCTCCCCTTTTCAGTCACATCTCTGTCATAATCAAATGTTTCCAGGAGGACATTCCACCCACCCCCTCAGGAACTTAGTCCAAGATTTAAGCCACTGCTTAAGTCTCTGTTACAAAGGAATACTGTCGTCATTATCAGAGCAACGAAAAAGGACAACATAATGATGCTCTTAATACTACACATACACTACACGTGCACTACACAATTCATAGAGAAGGGAGATCTTATCTGAGATTCTTTTAGAGCTGAAAATCCATCTATTTCCCATTTTAATCCAGAGAAAACATTTATAAACATTGACATTCAAAGCTATTACCTATTTTCATATGCTAATTTAGTTGTGAATATTTAACCCACATAAGTAGAATCCTCAAGTATTAAACCGTTTTCCTTTAGGTGCAAGACTTCTGACACCAAACGTGTGAGTTTTCCACATCAAGCAGTTCTCTGCAGATACCCACTGATTTCATAGGATTCAACCCCATTCTTACACTACCTGGAGTTGAGGCAGACCTCAGCTCAGGGGCTGGGGCCCACAGACTGCCTCCACTTCATACGCCCATCACAAGTCAAGGCCACCCACCCTTCTAATCTGTCCGCCGTTCCCACAAGCCCCTCCATGGGGGAGACAATGTGCTAGAACAGCTCCAGAACGCAGAGGAACACTTCAGCTGGACTTCTGGCTTATCCTTGGGACGCAACTCGAGAACGGCCAAGAGGAAGAGATGCCCAGGGCAAGGGAGTGGGGCGGGCCGTGCAGCTCCGGCCTCTCTGGGGGCACCCCCTTTCCAGCACCTGACGTGCTCCCCCGTCTGGAAACTGTTGGGGCCGACCCCTCAGTTCGGGTTTTCTGGAGCTTCCAGCACGTGGGTACAGGTGATGAAATCCTTGCTCACTGGTAGCCTGCCCCCTAGTCTCTCTCCCGGGAACGGAATCTATGGGTGGGGCTGAGCTTCCAGCCCTCCAATCACAGGCAATGAGCCAGCCCTCTTAATATGAATAACAAAAGACCCCTCTCTCACCCAAATCACTCAGGAAATTTTAAGGGTCAAAGGAGCTCTGTGCCAGGAACTAGCTACAAAGACCACAGTCATGTGTTTCTTATTCTATCACAATATATGTATGTATTAGTTGTGCAGTCGTGTCTGACACTTTGCGACCCCATGGACTGTAGCCCATGAGACTCCTCTGTCCTGTGTATTACAACATATACCATATATATATATATATGTATATATATATATATGCACACTATGTAACACATACACTGTTAAAGATAAACTCCGGCATATTATTTGAGCAAAAAGCCATTTAAACAGGGCAGCACCACCTTAAAGTGGTCAGGAATACTTTGCTGACAGAAGTCATGGAAACACCTCTATACAGACGGTGCCAAGAAAAGAAATCATCTGATTGGCTCCAGCTAAATCCTAGCTGGCTGTTCATAACTGGTGTTCTTAGCATTTCCATCTCGTGACCCTGAGGCATTTACAGGCTTAGATTCCCATTTGTTTACTAGGCCGGCAGGGCGTTAAAACGCACAGCGATCTAACTACCTCCTCATTTAATGAACAACACGATTTGTCTTATTTTAAACAACTGTCAGCTCTGGATCACTTTTTAAGATTTTTTTATGTTGTTATTAACATACAGCGTTGGCTTACACTTTTGATGGGCAGTCCCACCACCAGTAACAAATGTATTAGCGTAGGATTAGAAGCGAAGCGTGGATGATAAACCGTGTATTACTAAAGTCTCAAATTTAACTGGCAAACTTAAAACTATATGGAAATGAAACCTTTCGGTTATCTGAGATTAAATGCCATTGTGAAGAGCAAATATTTCATAAAGTATGTAAACATGGAAAGCTAACATTTAGGTTGGCTCATTTCAAAATGGTGCTCAGACTAGTTTTCCTAAAGATAAAGAGAGCCGGCCCTTCCTCGCTTTGAAGGGGGAAATGGTAAGGCCAGGGACCACAGGCGGAATGCAATATTTATGACTCTAGTTCTGGAAGCCCTTTCACCCCCAGCCCAGCGGGGTGGGAACTGTGGCCGAGGAAGCTGACGGGCAGGACGCTCACAGCTCGATCTCTTTGCAGAGCCGGCCGGGCAGGCTGAAGTGCATGAGGCCTTGCCACTCCTCCGCGGTGCAGATGCTGTGGTAGGACAGCTTCTCCATGGTGACCCTGTAGATGCACTCCGAGTGCCGGATCCTGTGGTACATCTGGAAGGCAGAGCCAACACAGAAAATGTAACTGAAGCGTGCGTGGTTCGTCATTACAGCGCAGAGGCTGCTATAAAAAAAAATCACAGCTGCACCTGGATTCACTATTACTCGTCCTTACCTACTATTACTGCGTATTACTATCCATTAACTACCATCTCTATCAGTTCAGTTCCGTTCAGTCGCTCAGTCGTCTCCGACTCTTTGCGACCCCATGGACTCCAGCACACCAGGCCTCCCTGTCCATCACCAACTCCCAGAGCTTGCTCAAACTCTTGTCCATCGAGTCGGTGATGCCATCCAACCATCTCATCCTCTGTCTTCCCCTTCTCCTGCCTTCAATCTTTCCCACCATCACTATATATTTCCATATACACTGAAGAAACCCACACATGTGACTCCGAAGATACAAATATTTTTTAAAGAAGTTATATCTCCATTTTAAAAGACTTCTTAAATTTTGTAAGAAGTGTTTTTTTTTTTTTGTCAGATGGCCAGACATTGTATCTAGGTGGAGAGATTACCTGGTACCTTATTCTTGGATGCCCAGCCTTGGTGGGAAATAAACGTCTGATGTTCATAAGCCCCCTAAGTCCACAGTATTTTGTTACAGCATCACAAACAGACTAAGACTCAAACAACTAAATTTGAGACATCAGTTGACTTTTTCTCCGTGTCTCCTTTTAAAATTATTTATCTTAACTCTTGGTGATCTCAAAGTCCTCTAGTCCAGGGAGTATGAAAATATTTTGATTGTAAAGTTCTTTATTGGTAAAATAAGTTTATAGATGCACATGTAATAAATGTATGCCCCTTCAGAAATTACACACTGTGCTAATATATTGTTTGTATTATAAATGAAAATATAATCAAAATTTTAAAAGATAAAAAGTACATAGTTTTAAAATATTTAATTTTATTTACTTAGCATGACTTTTGCTCACACTAAACAATTATATATTTTAAAATGAAGCACTATACCAGTATGTTACCAATTGTCAAGGTTTTTTCCTTATTGCTTGGTGAGATGGTGGTGTTTAATATAACACAGAAACAGTGGTACTAGTGGAGTAAATATGCCAAAAAGTGCGTGAGTGTGTGCTGTGCTAAGTCGCTCAGTCGTGTCTGACTCGTTGCAACACTGTGGACGGTCCCCCTCCAGGCCCCTCTGTCCATGCTATTCTCCAAGCAAGATACTGGAGTGGGCTGCCATGCCCTGCTGTAGGGGATCGTCCCTACCCGGGAATCGAACCCGCTTCCCTTCCATTTCCTGCCTTGGCAGGCAGGCAGGTTCCTTACCAGTAGCACCACCTACTGGAGAAAAATATGCCAGAAAGTTCAGTTCAGTCGCTCAGGCCTGTGACCCCATGGCAGCAGGCCGGGCTTCCCCGTCCATCAACAACTCCCAGAGCTTGTTCAAGCTCCTGCCCGTTGAGCTGGTGATGCCAGAAAGAATGTGGAGTCAAACAGAATAAAGGCAGTACTGTCTGGTCTTACACACCACACTCACGGTTCTGCTCGCTGACCACTAATACCTGTTCCTACACATCACACTCACGGTTCTGCTCGCTGACCACTAATACCTGTTCCTACACATCACACTCATGGTTCTGCTCGCTGACCACTAATACCTGTTCCTATACATCACACTCACGGTTCTGCTCGCTGACCACTAATACCTGTTCCTACACATCACACTCATGGTTCTGCTCGCTGACCACTAATACCTGTTCCTACACATCACACTCACGGTTCTGCTCGCTGACCACTAGTACCTGTTCTTACACATCACACTCACGGTTCTGTTCGCTGACCACTAGTACCTGTTCCGACACATCACACTCACGGTTCTGCTCGCTGACCACTAATATCTGTTCCGACACATCACACTCACGGTTCTGCTCGCTGACCACTAGTACCTGTTCTTACACATCACACTCACGGTTCTGCTCGCTGACCACTAATACCTGTTCCTACACACCACACTCACGGTTCTGCTCGCTGACCACTAGTACCTGTTCCTACACATCACACTCACGGTTCTGCTCGCTGACCACTAGTACCTGTTCTTACACATCACACTCACGGTTCTGTTCGCTGACTACTAGTACCTGTTCCGACACATCACACTCACGGTTCTGCTCGCTGACCACTAATATCTGTTCCGACACATCACACTCACGGTTCTGCTCGCTGACCACTAGTACCTGTTCTTACACATCACACTCACGGTTCTGTTCGCTGACCACTAGTACCTGTTCCGACACATCACACTCACGGTTCTGCTCGCTGACCACTAATATCTGTTCCGACACATCACACTCACGGTTCTGCTCGCTGACCACTAGTACCTGTTCTTACACATCACACTCACGGTTCTGTTCGCTGACCACTAGTACCTGTTCCGACACATCACACTCACGGTTCTGCTCGCTGACCACTAATATCTGTTCCGACACATCACACTCACGGTTCTGCTCGCTGACCACTAGTACCTGTTCTTACACATCACACTCACGGTTCTGCTCGCTGACCACTAATACCTGTTCCTACACACCACACTCACGGTTCTGCTCGCTGACCACTAATACCTGTTCTTACACACCACACTCACGGTTCTGCTCGCTGACCACTAATACCTGTTCCTACACATCACACTCACGGTTCTGCTCGCTGACCACTAATACCTGTTCTTACACATCACACTCACGGTTCTGCTCGCTGACCACTAATACCTGTTCCTACACATCAGACTCACGGTTCTGCTCGCTGACCACTAATACCTGTTCCGACACATCACACTCACGGTTCTGCTCGCTGACCACTAATACCTGTTCCGACACATCACACTCACGGTTCTGCTCGCTGACCACTAATACCTGTTCCGACACATCACACTCACGGTTCTGCTCGCTGACCACTAATACCTGTTCCTACACATCACACTCACGGTTCTGCTCGCTGACCACTAATACCTGTTCCTACACATCACACTCACGGTTCTGCTCGCTGACCACTAATACCTGTTCTTACACATCACACTCACGGTTCTGCTCGCTGACCACTAATACCTGTTCTTACACATCATACTCACGGTTCTGCTCGCTGATGACTAATATCTGTTCTTACACATCACACTCACGGTTCTGCTCGCTGATCACTATTATCTGTCTTACACATCACACTCACAGTTCTGCTCGCTGACCACTAATATCTAACTGAAATTCAGATGAATTTCCATTTCCCCTGATGTAAATTGGTTATTTTTGCAAATTAAGCAGCTGCATTTTTATATATTGTCAATCAGGTTCAAAACCAGCAACAACCAGTGAAATTCATCATACAGCAGATTTTAACAAGTTAAAAGCTGTGTGACAAAATAAATTTTTTTAAAAATTCAACTTTTGAAGATAGAGAGGGAAAAGGAATTACAAAACAGATGGAACAAACAAAACAAATAACAAGATTATGGATGTATACCTAAGCACAAGACATGCCTGGTCTAAATAACCTCATTAAAAGAAAAGGTTATCTGACTGAGCAGGAAGCAAAACCCCAACTCACACTGTCTACAAGAAAGAACCCTACTTAAACAAAACAGAGACTCGGATAGGGTCTTCCCTTGTGGCTCAGCTGGTAAAGAATCCGCCTGCAATGCAGGAGACCTGAGTTCGATCTCTGGGCTGGGAAGATCCCCTAGAGAAGGAAAAGGCTACCCACTCCAGTATTCTGGCCTAGAGAATTCCATGGATTATATAGTTCATGGGGTTTCAAAGAGTCGGACACGACTGAGCAAATTTCACACTTCACAGGGTAAAAGTAAAAGGCTGGAAATTTGTAAAACTCAGCAGTGGCCACAGGACTGGAAAAGGTCAGGTTTCATCCCAATTCCAAAATGCCAAAGAATGTTCAAATTACTGTATAATTGCTCTAATTTCACATGCTAGCAAGATTATGCTTAAAATCCTTCAAACCAGACTTCAGCAGTACGTGAACTGAGAACTTCCAGATGATCAAGCTAGATTTATAAAAGGCAGAGGAACCAGAGATCAAATTGCCAACATCCATTCGATCATAGTAAAAGCAAGAGAGTTCCAGAAACATCTACTCTGGTTCATTCAGTTCAGTTCAGTTCAGTCGCTCAGTCATGTCCGACTCTTTGTGACCCCATGGACTGCTGCACACCAGGCCTCCCTGTCCATCACCAACTCCTGGAGCTTACTCAAACTCATCTCCATCGAGTCGGTGATGCCATCCAACCATCTCATCCTCTGTTGTCCCCTTCTCCTCCTGCCTTCAATCTTTCCCAGCATCAGGGTCTTTTCCAATGAGTCAGTTCTTCACATCAGGTGGTCAAACTATTGGAGTTTCAGCTTCAATATCAGTCCCTCGAATGAATATTCAGGACTGATTTCCTTTAGAATGAACTGGTTGGATCTCCTTGCAGTCCAAGGGACTCTCAAGAGTCTTCTACAACACCACAGTTCGAAAGCATCAATTCTTCAGCACTTAGCTTTCTTTATAGTCCAACTCTCACATCCATACATGACTACTGGAAAAACCATAGCTTTGACTAGACAGACTTGTATTGGCAAAGTAATGTCTCTGCTTTTTAATATGCTATCTAGGTTGGTCATAGCTTTTCTTCCAAGGAGAAAGCATCTTTTAATATCATGGCTGCAGTCACCATCTGCAGTGATTTTGGAGCCCCCCAAAATAAAGTCTGCCACTGTTTCCACTGTTTCCCCATCTATTTGCCATAAAGTAATGGGACCGGATGCCATGATCTTATTTTTCTGAATGTTAGCTTTAAGCCAACTTTTTCACTCTCCTCTTTCACTTTCATCAAGAGGTTCTTTAGTTCTTTGCTTTCTGCCATAAGGGTGGTGTCATCTGCTGCACATCAGAGGTTATTGATATTTCTCCCAGCAATCTTGATTCCAGCTTATGCTTCTTCTAGCCCAGCGTTTCTCATGATGTACTCTGCATATAAGTTAAAT